CTATGCATCAATGCTGGACAATGACTGTGGAGGATAGAAGGAGATTTGATGCCTTTGAGCTGTGGTGTTGGAGAGAAGTATTAAATATACCACAAACTGCTGGGAAAATGAAAAGGCTTGTCCTAGAGAGGGTTAAACCAGGTTGCTCCTTGGAGGCAAGGATTCTGAGCTTTGTCTGACATACTTTGGACATGTTGCAAGGAGGGATCAATCCTTGGAGAAGGACATCATGCTTGGGAGGGTGGAGGGCCAGGGCAGGAGGGGAAGACCCTCTATGAAGTGGATTGATTCAGTGACTGGGGTAATGGGGGTACCTGTGTCAGAGACAGTGCAATTGGCACAGGATAGAGCAGGGTTCAAGGCTGTTTTACATAGGGTCGCTATGAGTCGTAGGTGACTCGATGACACATAACAACAACAACAACAACAACAACAACAACAACAACATCATGATGTTGATAGATTGGTCCAAGCCCCGAGTTACAAAACTGAAGGATTCTATGGTCAAAATATTGAATGATGAAGAAAGCATCAAAAGAAGATGGAAGGAACACTGATCACTGCATTAAAAAGAATTAACTGATGCTGAACCATTTCAGAAAGTAGCATGTGAAGAACCAGTGGTACCGGCAGGCGGAAGAAGTTCAAGATGCTCTGATGGCTCTGGCAAAAACCAAAACCAAAACAAAAAACCCCAACCCAACTAAAAACCAAACCAAAGCAAAACAAAATCCCCAAGCAAGCAAGCAAGCAAGCAAGCAAACAAACAACAAACAAAAAACAAACGAAAAAGCCAAACAAGTCCTAGGAATTGTCAGAATAACAATGGAGCTTTTCCCAGCAAACACAGCCCTGGATGTGCTCATCAGTCTTTGCAAAGAAATCTGGAAGACCTTTATCTAGTCAATGGAGGAATCTATCTCCCTATGGAGGAAATCCATATTTGTTCTCATCAAGAAAAAATTATCCCAAATAATGTAGAAATTATTTCACAGTATCATTAATAATACAGGCAAGTAAAATCTTGCTGAAGATTATTAAAAAAGTAAAATTTTAATACACTAAAATGCAGTAGATGTTAAAATTTATCTAAGAAATAAATTTTTGCAGTCATATCAACATAAACATTATTTTTTTCCCCTCTTACCAATTATTGGGCTGAATAATGAAAGAGATTTCTTTATATTGAAATACCTTTGCCTTCTTGGGATAAACTTTAATTGGCCATGCTGTAGTATTATAACATTTTTTCCTTGATAAAAAGCTACTAATGTTATATTTTGAATTTTTTTTGAACAATTTTCATGGTAGATTCTGTTCACAGGAGCATTTTGGCTTTGTAAAATGAATTGGGAGACATATGTCCTTTCCTAGCTACTAAAGCAAATGTTGAGGTATTGAAGTTACTGCTTTCTTGCAGCTTTGAAAGAAATCATCTGTGCAACCATCTGGGCCTGGCTTTCTTCTGAGTAGTGGCACCGTGTGTGTGTGTGTGTGTGTGTGTGTGTGTGTGTGTGTGTGTATGAGTGTACATGCTGTTATATAGTGAGTAAAAGTTGATGGCAGTTTTAAAACAGTGAATTATCAATATTAAACAACACTTCTTAATTGTTCAAGAGCCCTAGCGGCATGGTTCATTAAGTGTTGTACGGCTAACTGAAAGAAAGGTGAGTGGTTCAAATCCACCAGTCTTTCTAAGGAAGAGTGATTGGACAGTCTCCTCCTGGGACGATTTACAGCCTTGGAAGCTGATGGAGTGCCATCATGCATCAGAATGACTAGGTGGGCAGTGGATTTAAAGTGTTAACTGCTTTCTGCCTTGAATTTCTTTCTGATGTTTGCATCCTAACCCTTTCCTGTCTCTCCTGAAAAACTACTAATGTTTTTATGCTAATTTTTTTAGGAAATATTAATAGAATGAAAAAGTTAGTTTCTTTTTCTAACTCATACTATTCCCATTAGTTTGCCATATTGAATAATACTTTTATTTTTAATAGTCCCCTTTGTCCCCCTAATATTTTATCATCTTCTTTTAAATGAGCCATATTTCCTTTGGTTTTTGAGCAGTGTAGAATTGGGTTCAGTTGCATGTAATGGAAAAATTCTCTAAGACCTAGTGACTTTAAATATCACGGAAGTTTGTTCTTCTCTTCCATAAAAGTACCTGGAAGAAGCAAGTCAAACCTATTGTGGAAGGGGCAATTCAAAGCCAGCGTGGAGGGGCAAGTCAAAGTGAGTATAGGAGGTCCTAGGTAGGGTCTAGGGTGGAAGTCCAAGATCCCAGGCTCAAGACTGAGTCCCCAAACAGCTTCCTCCTCCACCATCCAGCATGTCTATCCTGGGGGTCATTTCCTGGCCCTGACTGGGAATGTGAACTGGACCTAGGTGTTTGGTGTGCCCCACTGCAGGCCAGGGGCTTGAAGAGTGCTGTGGGAAAGATGGCTGCTGTCGGAACTGGTGAAAAGGTTCTAAGAGGAGACGTATCTGATCTCGACGTCATAGAAATCAGCTTGGGCTGATGTGGTGTTTCTTGAGCAGTTAGAGGACCTCTGATGCCACTGTGCCTTTTGTACAAGGACCCAGAACTTAGGAGATTCTCAGTGAATTGTATTTGAGTAAATGAAGAAAGCAACAGATTGAGCGAAAAGAACTAACCTGTATCTAGAATTCTCCCACAGACATTGGTGAGTACACAGATGGTGGAGTATGAGGTTGGAAGGATTGAGGCTGAAGGGCTTCAATGGTCTCTGCCTTTGGTAGGGCAGGTGCTTTTCTCTCCAAGAAGCCATCTGTGATTCTCCTGTGAGCCCAGGGAGCAGACCCTGCAGGGGAGGGAAGGCCTTAGAAGGAGGGTCCTCAAAATGGGGCTTCTCTGACAACTTAGGAAGTGAAAGGTCAGATATAGATTCCTAGGCGCAGTTCCCTGACTACCCTATTTAAGCTTACCATTCCGCTTGGCACGTTTATTCTCAGAAACCCTTCTCACTAGCAGACATTCTATGGCATTAGATGTATCAGAAAAAGACACTATGTTGGGAATGGTAGAGGGTTAGGAAAAGAGAAGACTCTCAACAAGGTGGGTGGATTGCCATAGTGATTGTAACAATGGCTTCAGAGGTCGGGAGGATGGTGCAGGCCAGGACAAGGTTCAGATCTGCTGCTCACAGGACTTGAGAGCTCATGATACTATTGCAAGTGCAAATTTGGAACTGGTTCGAGGTGGGGGACTGCCTCCTTTACCTTATAAACTGTACTTGGGAAGACACGACTTCTGAAATAGGAATTCCTTCCCTCCCCCATCCACAGCTCCTTTCCCGCATTCACTCAGTCCCAAGGGTAGAGAAACAAAATGACTATTGAGTTTCATTTTCATAAATTCTCAGGAAGAGCAGGGCTCTTATCAGTTTCTGTGTGGCCTTCCCTGTTGCCTGCCTCATTCCAACCCTTAGGGCTTTCTGCTTTTCCTCAGGCACATGCTTAGTTACCTCAGGGCTTTGTATTTGCTCTTCCCTCTGCTAGAAGCCTCAACCCTTCTCAACCCACCCCCCCCCCACCCCCGCAGTATTTATCTTCCTTACATCCTCCCAGAAAGATCCCTTTAGTGGCTCCTGACCCCCACATCCCATTTAGAACTGCACTCAGCACACTTTTCAAAAAGCTCTTCTCACCAGCAGACATACTGTGGCATACATTACATTAGGTATTTAAACCAGAAGTGACTTTCTGGTTTTGTTTTGATTAAAATGAAATAATCTTCCTACAAGGCATACTATAATGCACCTTGACTATCATGCAGTGGGCTTGACAAAATAGATGCCTCAAAGCACTCACTTGGCTGTGAATCCTCCCACCACTGCACACTGCCTATGTGACTGTAGCAAATTCCTCTGGATCATTAAACCCGTTTCTCCATTTGTGAGGGAGAAACTGAGAGTGAGTTACTGAGAAGTTTCTAGCAAAGTCTGACACACAGTAGGGCTCAGTAAGGGTTAATTGACCCTCATCTGTGGCTGGTCTCTTCCCCTATTTCTTCCCTTCAGACCCACAAACCCTGCTGACCAGTAGGGACTCTCAGTCCAGCTGTTCCCACCCCTGGGCTGAGGTGGCTGCCTGTCTCATCCACTATGTTGTCTTTTGTGAGCCTGGACCTTGCTTCACTTTCATTACTTGATCTAACTTGGTTATCTTATCCCTCAGGGAAAAATGTGACATCATGAATGTGCCTTTTCTTGCTTCCTTCAAGAAAGGTCTTATCTCAGTAATCTCCCATCCACTGCTTCAGCTCAACACCCTGAAGTCCCAGAGCCTGTTCTCAGGCCTTTTTGGGGGCTTGTTTCCTCTACCACTTCCTCAAGATCCAGAGGGTGTGACCCTGCTGCCTCAGCCCTCCCTCCACATTCTCCTTTCTTCCCCCCACCAGCTCAGCTGCACAGAAGCGTAGTACTCCCTCTAATGGCTAATGATTTTGTGGAAGGTTTCGAGCAAGTTAAAACACAAAAAAGGGGGGCTAGCCTCCATGGCTGCTCTTTTTTGGATGTTTATGTAGTCTCCCAGATCCCCACTTCTTGTTCCAATATCTCTTCTCTCCAAAAAAGCAGACTCTTGAGACTGTGACTTCATTAAATGTCTGGTCTTTATAGCATTTAAATCACTGGCCTCCTTTGCTGTTAATCAGACTATCAGGAGGCCAGAGGGAAGCTTATCAGAACCAAATCCTCATCTTTTGGAAAAGCATTTTCCAAAGCAGCTTCCAGCAATAACAAAAGGGCATACTTTTTGCAAGGCTTGTGCACAGACTGCATTTTAAGCAAGAGCTGATATCCCATGTAATCTATTTGAGGAAGCAAAACGGAAATTAAAGATGGTCCCTGAGCCAGCCATTTGCGGACCCCTCCTCCTCCCCTCTCTGCGACAGGAGCTCTGGCTGCGTGTGGTGTCGCTTTGCTACTGCGGCGCTGCCCCGTGCATGCACAACCAAGACACTCAGACCACTCCAGCCATGCCATGAGGTGGGTTTTATTTTCATTAATCATACAAATAATTTTCTAGAATAGCCCAGGGCAAACCGGAGACTTCGGTGGTCCCTTCAGAGACCCGCAGGCCGGTGGCAGGGCGCGGCGTGCCCGGGTTCACAGTGCAGCTCGTCGCTCGTGCCCATCCTGCAGGTGGCTCTTCCTCCACATCACGACTAGGGTGTCGCACATGACGCGGGCGGAGACCACTGCAGGATCCTAGGACATCTCACTTCGCTTCTCCTGCTCGATGGCTGTGGAAGGCGGGAAGCATGGATTGGGGGAAGGACACCAGGCCAAAACCCCTCCCCCCGCCACGCTGACACCCCGGGTGTGTGTGGGTGAGGCGCCGAGGGGCTGGTCACTTTGTAAGATAAAGGGTGGCCGGGACTGTCCGTACCCGAGGCGTGGGGGTGGGGACAGCACTAGCCCAGGAGGGGCTGCAGGGCTGGGCGGGGGGCCAGGGGCACACTCACTCTCTTTGGTCGGCAGGGTATTCTTCTCCTGCGTCTCGGTCTTCTTCAGCTTGGCCTTATCGAAGCTGGCGATTTCCCCCATGTCAGGCTTGTCTGCCATTTTCGTGAAACAATCCTAGTGGGCAAACCAAAGCAGTTGGCCAAACGCGGCGAGGCGGAGGTCAGTGTCCCCCTCGGCACTCCTGGCCCGCGTCTCTCGACGTGGCATTCCGGCCGGGGCGTGGCCGGCAACCCAAGGCCGAGGGTCGCGGCGCGCCTGGCCAGCCCCTCTGTAGCGCCGGACCCGGTCGACCGGCACGAGCGCCCCATCGTGGAGGCAGCCACAGCGCCTCCGGGTGACCACCCCGGCCCACCATGGGCGCCCTCGCCCCGCTCAGGGCTCACCGCGGGTCCCCGTCCAGCCGATGCCCTAGCGTTCACACTCCTGTTGCTGCAGCGAGAGACAAAAGAACGGCGCCCGCCCCTCGCCTTATATACCCCGAGCTCCGCCCGGCCCGCCCCTCGGCCCGCAGAGGGCGGTGCTGGCCCGGGGGGCGGGGCCCTGAGCGGCCACTGGCGGGCGGGGTGTGGGTCGGTTAGCGGCGCGCGCTCGCCTGGGCCGCGGGAAGCTGTAGGGGGATGGCTTCCTCCAGGCCTCCTTCCCCCTCCCCACCGGGGAATCTACTGTCCACCCGGCAGATTGGGCGTGGAGGCCGCGGGGAAGGGGATGTGCGCGCTTGCGTGTGTGTGTATGTGTGTCCGCCTGCCGGGGCACGTGTGCGCGCGCGTGCGAGTGTGTGCGGTTATGGATGTGCGAGCGTGCACGCGCGCTGTGCCGCAGTCCTTACTCCCTAGAGTCACTCCGCGTCTTTCGGGGTCCCAAGTACCTTGGTGTGGCTCTCCTGAGCCCTCCCCGGTCCACCCTTCCCCTGGTGGGGGGGGGGGGGTCGAGCCCTTGGAGATCTCACTGGGTTTTGGGAGGAAGGGTTCAGCTGCAGGCGGGACGGGCCCGCGTTTTCCCTAACTGGGCGTGCCCGGCCAGCACCATGGCGGCGCAGCCTCGAGGCCGCCTGCGTGCATTGTCTGAGGGGTGGGCGGGGGCGGGGGCCGCGGCCCTAGAGCTGGGAGCTCTGCCACAGGCCCCCAGGAAGCAGGGGCAGAGGGTGCGGCTTTTCTCCTTGAATTAACCTTGAGGATGCTTTGAGACAAACTACTGTGACAAATAGCCCCAAAGTGGGTTGATAGAATTATCCAGGCCTCGGGAACTGAATGGAGTGTCTGGAACTGTCACACTCGAATAGTGAGGTTTTTCTCCCATAGAGTCAGAATCGACTTGCTGGCAATGAGTTTTTGTTTTATAAAGGTTAAATAAGAAGCCCTTGGTGGTGTGGCGGTTAAGTGCTTCCCCTCTAAGAGAAGGCTGACAATTTGAACACACCAGTCATTCAGCTCCGGTAATGATTGCAGCTCAGAGAGCCCTGTGGGCAGTTCCACGCTGTCATACAGGATTGTTGTATACCATCCGGTCAGAAGAGACCCATAGCTGACCCTCTAGCGGGTTTTCAGAGGCAGTTAATCGCACAGGAGGAGATTGTCTATCCCGCAAAGCAGAGCAGCTGGTGGATTTAAACCGGGCCTTAGGGACTGAAGCCCAGCTTCTTATAACTAGGCGGTCAGAGGTTGTTAGGAGTCAGAATTGTATTGAAGGCACACAGTAATAACAGCACAAACGTAAATGACAGAAAAGAAACTGAGTAAATATTTCATATAACCTCCTTAGAAGGCCATACTCTCAGCCACCTATTGCCACACAAATGCTATGTAACAAAACCACTCCAAAATTCAGTCGCTTTAAACAATCACTGTCATCATACATCTGCCAGTCAGCTTTGATGATTGCAGGGCTGGACTATTCAGATCTTGGCTCCACACTTCAGACTGCAGTCAGCTCTGCTACGGGGTTCTCTCATACCCTTTTGACCAGGGGGTTGACCTGGGGTTTATTGTGCTCAGGGTGATAGCAAAGGAGAAGAGAGCTTGTACTAGAAGAAACCATAGAAATGGTGAAGTGTGTGAGAATGCTCAGATAGCCTGATGGCCAAAGCAAGTTCTAGGACCAAGTCCGAAATCAGTGGAGTAGGGAGAGGTGCATGAGTATTAATAGTAATAATTCAACTTTATAGTCAGGGTAGGCAAACTACTGTGACCAGTAACCCCCAAACTGGTTAATACAATAAATATGTACTTACCATTCATGAAACATCATCCTCTGCTGGTGTTTCTGGTCGGGCAGCTTTCTGGCATACAGTAATGATTTAGGCACACAGGCCCCTTCTTTTCTGTTAGTGGTCTCCCCCAGGTCCTGGAAGTCTGCTCCCTCTAACCAGTGGACTAGGGGAAAAGGAAGGTGGGAGTGACATTTTTATAGTCCAGGCAGGATAATCTCCATCACTTTTCCCTTCTTTTTTTTCCTTTTTCTTTTGCTTGCCAGATCTTAGTAATACTGTCTCGCCTCCTGGCAAGGGAAGGTGAATACACAGGGTGGGTGGGTGGGGGGGGGAGCAAAGGGTTGGATATACGTGGAACAGTTTCTACTATACAATGTTAGAGGATCTTTCAAACTTGAACATAAAAATACCAGGACACTCAGAGACTCAGAGAAATTCTTTGAAAAATTTCACTTGTCCTTGATTCAGAGGAAATGCTGTGCAGTACTTGTTACCTTCTTGGGCCTTGCCTTTGGCCAAAACATGAGAACATTCAATGTTGTTAAATGTCTAAGTTTTGATATTGTTCACTCAAGGAGTGACCCTCCCAGCTGAGGCCCTGCAATGTAGACTAAAATTAATCTCTATGATGTAGTGTAACTTTTCCTAGCCATGGTCTTTATAAGTTCTGGTTCAGTTGTTAGGTACTGCTGAGTTGAGTGTGACTCATAGCAACCCTAAGACCAGCTTGACCTGAACCCTGTCCTATCCTGTGCCATGCACATCATCTGCACACTAGATCCCATTGCTGAAGTCACAGTGTCAATTTGTCTTGTTGGGGTCTTCTACTTTGCTGACCCTTCATTGTTCCAAGCATGATGTCCCTTTCCAATGAATAGCTTTACCTAGCTACATAACCAAAGTATGAGAGATGAAGCTTTGTCATCTTTGCCTCCAAGAAGCACTCTCTCTGTACTTTTCCCAAGACATATCTGTTTGTTCTTTTGACAGTCCCTGTCAAAATTCTTCTCCAGCACCACATTCATTGAATATTGTTCTTCAGCACCACAACTCAGAGGCATCATTTTTCCTTCTGTTATCCTTATTCACTGTCCAGCTCTCTGATGCTTAACAGGTGATAGAGAAGACCATGGCCTGAATCAGGTGTACCTTAGTCTTCAAAGTGAAATCATTACTCATTGGTTGACATATTAGAGAGGTCCATGACAGCAGACTTGCCTAATGCAAAGCATCTTCTGTTTTCCTGACTGTTGGTACCAGGAGTGTTGGTTGTTGATCCAAACAAGAGGAAATCATTGACAGCTTCAATCTTTTCTTGATCTATCATATTATTAACTGTTGGTCTTGTGGTGAGGAACTTTGTTTTCTTGCTGTAGAGATATATTCCTCCTTGATGTTCTGCAGCTAGTGTTCCATATCCTCCTTTCAGCAAGCAAGGCTGTTTCATCTGCATAATGCAGATTGTTGATGAGTCTTCCTTCACCTTGATGCCACATTCCTTTTCAGAGAGTTCAGCTTCAAGACTTATTAGCTCAGCATACAGATTTAATAGTTATGGAGAAAGGATACAATCCTGATGCACACCCTTCCTGATTTTAAACCATGCAGTGTTCCCTCGCTCCGTTCAGAAAACAGTTTCTTGATTTCTCATAGATTTCTCATGAGCACAATTAAATGTTCTGGAATTTCCATCCTTCTCATTGTCATACAGCTTGCTGTGATCCTCACAGTCAAATGCCTTTGCATAGTCAATAAAACACAAATAGTCATTCTGGTATTCAGCCAGGACCCATCCAATATCAATAATGATATCCCTCGTGTGAGAGCTCCCTCTAAACCCAGCTTGCACTTCTGATAGTTCTCTGTGTATGTACTGTTCTAGCTGGTTTTGGATGATCATCAGCAATATTTTGTTTGTATGTGAACTGAATGATGTTGCTTGATAATTTTCACATTCTAATAGATGGTTCAGTAGGACTATCCAAATGTGAAATGCTGGTATACCATCACAGGAACTGGATAACTTGTAAATAATGTAAATAACATTAATGACACCTTTTGGGTTATGTGCTGATGAGTCACTTGCAACTCATAGCAACCCTACATACAACAGCTCTGAACCCTGCTCTATCCTGAGCCAACCTTATCGTCTCTGACACATCTAGACCCCTTACCCCAGTCACTAGGGTGGGACAATTAAATAAGATGCACAGAATGCTAATGTAGGGATTGGTCAGCTTTTTTCTGTCCTGTCAAGCTTAAATGAAGCTGTAAGTCACTGCAGAAGTGGAAAACAGGGATCACATTATCATGAGAGAGCAAAGAGGAGGTTCCAACACAGAAATGCTCTTGATCCAGAAGACACAGAGATACCTGAGTGGCAGCAAACAGGAAAATGGTAGCTGCAGAGGGGGAGAAGCAGGCACTTGTAGTGAGTTGGAGCTGTGGTTTCCTGGTTTATGGAGGAAGAAAGGTGAGTGCCTTTGAGGCAGGAAACTTACTTACTGGCTGAGTGAACGCCTTTAGACATTTCTCCGGGAGCAAGATTTGCTGGTCATTGGACATCATGCCCAGGCTTGTGGGCTGTTGCATTTAAAAAAAAAATAAAAAGAAGGAAGAGTTAAAAGAGCTTTGTAACACTTGCTTGAAAAAGGCAGAGGCTAGCCTAGGAGGCTGAGGCCAGAGAGAGAGGCCTGCTTCATAAGAGCCAAAGAGCATGGTGAGATTTGCCTGAGCAAGGCAGAAGCCAGGCTGTGAGACTAAGGATCAGAGAGATGCTGGCCTTTTGGCATGGCTGAGGGGGCTGTGCTGCTTGAAGAACTGAATTCTGAGTTGTTCCTGATACTGAATTATAAACTATTACTTCCTTAACCCCACTCACCTGCTGATTTGTTCTATTTTGT